TCTAGAATACTTTATAACCGTATAAAAGCTTACGAAGAGGTAAATACGATAGTTTCTTATCCTCTTACGATATAACTTTACGATCTTCTACCTTAAAGGAAAGGATAACGTATAAGCCGACGCGCTATCGCGAAGAGAATAAGATATATCGAAAGAAGAGGAGGACGATCGACTATAGTATCGTTCGATAAGACTATTAAAGCTAAAGTTCTTCGACGCGAAAGGAGCGATTTAAGTAGCTTTCGTACGAGTAGAGGAACTCTCTACCGGAGACTAACTAGCGAGTAACGTAGTTAATACTAACTAGTTTACGATAGTAGAGTTAGACGAAACGTACGAGTAGATTAAGGATTTAATTACTCGAGGAGTACCGAAGTTTCTATCTTCTCTAGCGATAAAAGTATTTATTACTAAGTATATAATTAATAGTTAAGGAAACGTACGCTTCCGGGGAAGACTATAGGTTTCGAACTTAGAACCTTTATATACGTCTCTAATTTAAGAAACCTACGACTTAGTAATTAGTAGATACTTCGGGCGGAAGGTAACGAGCTTTCTAATAGTAAGATAATTCTTCTAGCCGAATATACTATAAAATATCCGATAATTCGTACGAAACTACGATACCTACGAACGAATAAAAGCTTAGAGGAAAAGGAAATAAGGATTCCTAAAACTTCTCCCTATATCGAACCGAATATAGAGCGAAATATCTATCGACTTTATTACGGAGCTCCTAGAGAGTCTAGGCTATACGAATTTAGCGGTAATTACGAACCGACTAGGAAAAGGAGTTATCCTTAAATCGATACGTACGATTAAGTCGTAAGATATAGTATTTCTATTCCTATATATATTCTATAGGACCTACGATTTATCGAGAGCTATCGTATCGAATAGAGGAATCTAGTTCGTAAGCGCTCTATAGAAACGAATATATTAGTTACTAGATATCGTACGCCGATTATCTACTATATATTACCCTAAAATGGACGGATCTATAAAACGAATAAATTAGACGATTAAGACGTACGTATATACGTTCGTAAACGAAGCCTAAGATAATTAGGTAGAGTTACTACTAATCGCTAAATTAGTAATTAATAATAGGAACGCCTAATCGACTAGTATAAGCCCTTTCTTCCTATCTTACGAATATAATATCGACTTCGTATAACTATAAGATAAGCTCCGCGAAGATAAAAAAGGAAATAGCCTAATACGATAGGGCGAAGAGATTATACGAAAACTCTAGAAGGCGAGAGAATAGGCTTAGACTTCTATAGCCGTTACTTAATAAGAGTAAGAGGAAATTATAAACCGTACGAGATAATAGTTAATAGAGTTCCGAGTAGACGATAAGGTCTAGCTCGACTTAAGGAATATACGTACGACGCGAAAGAGTAAGAAGCTTAATTAGAAGAATATAAAGTATATCGTAACTAAAGTTATCGAATTATATAGCTATCGTCTTAATACGCTAAAAGGAATTTATAATATATTCTATTCGAATCTACTACGTACGATATCTACGAATCTATTACCTTCGTAAGTTACTAACGATACTTAGCCGAATTCTATCGTTATATAGGACGAAGAAGAATATTAGATTAAAAGGATTATTCGCTATAAATCTATACGAAGAGGCCGAGGGTTTTAAAGGTAGTACTTAGTAAAATAGACGGAATATATAGAATTAACCTAGGAATCGAAATTATCGCTCTAGAATACTATAGCTTTAGATACGTACGAATCGATAGCGAGATAATCGGCTCCCTAATTACTATACGGAAGTAAAGAGAGAGTACGTACGAAAGAACTATAAGAGTAATAAAATATCTAATTATACTATATATATTTAGCTTATTTAGTCGTCGTACGGCGAAGCCTAATCGCTACGTTAAGGTATAAACTATAATTAAGTATAGAGAATATTCCTTACCTACTAGGATTATACTAATACTAATATAAATACTATACGAGGATAAAAGAATAAAGAAATATCGTACGTACCTACCGCTAAGGAGCGGGCCTTTTTATAACTACCTCGTCGAAGCGAGAAGGAGGAGGGGGAAGGAGGAGAGCCTTACGGGTAGGGGGGGGAGCGCCGTCGTTATCGGACGAATCCGACGATAGTACTATAATACTACTATCGTCGTCTTTATCGCGCTCCGAATAACGAGTACCGCGGTCCGACTACTTATAGTTATCGTACGTACTACCGAAGTATCCTAGGATACGTCGATACTCTAGAAATAGGCGTATTAAGCGCTTATAACGATTATAAGGACCGAAAAGAATACTTCGGCTCTAAATAAGTAAGATATTAATATACGATAGCCGATACGACCGGACCTATACTAGAGTAACTACTCCTTATACGAAAGGTACGTTAGTTCCTAGTATAGCTAAGACCGCTCGTTAAGAGATATTATAGTAGTACGATACTAGCGATTACTCGGAGGTAAGGAAAATAGGGATTTAAGTTAGCGCGAGCTACTTTAACTAACGCTAAGCCGTAGCGATATCCTATACTACTAATACTATATTATCTTAACTTTTCCGTTCTCCTATTAGTACGTACGACTAAACGGAAAGGCCTAGGGCTTAGAGTATAGAAGGCGAATTAAAGAGGAGGAAATAGATTAGTTCGCTTACTTATTTACTATATCGACTACGGACGTTTAAGGGTTAGTAACGACTAATAATTATACGTAATAGGAGTAGAAATAAGTACTTATAAAAACTTTCTCGATAATTAGTATAAGAGAAGAAAAAGTAGAATAAAAGTAAGTAGAAATAAAGGTTTTACTTTATACGCTACTCGGCGTTCGACTAGTTCCTATTAGGAGTAGCGGCTTCTTAGCGCCGTACGGAGAGAGGAGGAGAGTAATATTACGAATTAAATCCGTATAAAGCTCTAGAGTACGCCCTAGAGTAATTACTCGTAGTATACCTTTAGGCTATATAACTATATAGCCGAAGCTACGTAATTCCTCTCTATTAATTATCTCCTAGGAAACTATACTAA